ATTGAATACTTCTGATAACCAAGCAATTATTTTCTATTCCAGTGGTCTCCTGACAAGTCCACTGTCTTTGGGAGCTCTGCAGAGGATGGTTTATTGAACATCTGGGATTATGAAAAGGTGTTGAAGCCTCTCTCTCTCTGCGACCCCCCCCCCTCTCTTGCGCTCTCGTTATTTATGGGCTTGCTGTCAACTCTTCTACAGAGGGCTATGGTTAAGAAATTTCTCACAAATCATATTCTATGATAGGAAAATTTTCAATTGCTGTCATATGTCAATATATCTGAATGCGAATGTGTAAGATTGTAATCAGCTTCTCACATCAGCCTGCGAACTGACTATATGTACATCTCATATATACCATCTGATTTCTATGAGACTAATTTCTTTCCTTGCTTGTCCTGTAGGTTGGCAAAAAGATAGAAAGCGGGACAAGGTCTCCAAGTAGTCCTCCTGGGTTATTTTTCCAACATGCTGGGCACAGGTTAGTTAGCACTATGCAGTAAATTATTGGTGGCTGACCTAGTCTATTCAATCCATGTGTGGTTCACCTGCACGGGTTGACTCATTTGTTTGTTAAAAGTATTGTGATATCTAAATGATATTTAAGTTATATTTTGGACTTGCAGAAATCATCTTTACTTCTGGCTGCTTAACTTGAGATATTCTGTTCTTGCCATCTGCCTCTGGCTGTGTCAAATCAAAATATTTGTGTGCCATCAACAATGGACCATGGTGAATTATTCTTAGAAAAACACAATTAAAAACTTACTATTGGTTTTCGTTTCTATCTAGTCTAAACGATTAAAAAGCATTTGATTTGCATCCTTACTGGCTCAGTCGTAATTTCAGTACTAATGGCAAACATATTTCTCTTATCTGGATGCTTGTTGGCCTATAGACAATGTTAAGATCTTTTGATAGTGAAAATGTTCTCTATATGTTCTCCAGGGACAAAGTTGTCGACTTTCACTGGAATGCCTCTGATCCATGGACGGTTGTCAGTGTTTCTGATGATGGTGAAAGTAGCGGTGGTGGGGGCACGTTACAGGTATGAGATGTTTTCTTCTTTTATGGGGGTGGTGGTATTCTTGGCAGATGTAGCATTCTACTGGCTTTGATCCCTCTTGACGGTTTTCCCTTGATTTTGCATCTGGTGGTTGTAATTTGCAGATATGGCGCATGACTGACTTATTATACAGGCCTGAGGATGAGGTTTTAGCTGAGCTCCAACATTTCAAAGATCATGTAATCGAGTGCACTTCCAAGGCTTGAGAGAGTTAATGGTTCATTGAGCTGCTGAACTTCTTGTTAAAAACTGTTTCTGTATCTAGCATTGTACTCCGGGGGTATTTTCTTTTTGTTTTCCTTGGTAGAGGAACTGGAATAGCCGGTAGTATATTCTAGCATTTAGAACTGTGGAATTTGTGTTCCGACTTGATTCTGCCAGTTTACAATTCTGTAGGATCTGCATATGTGATTCGGTATTTTACCAATCATGGGTCCAACATTCTCTGCCGTTGATACTAATTATTGAATGCTGGTGAATTACGGGTGCGAGCAGCTGAGGCCTACGGTGTTTGACAAGGAAATTTATATTTTAATGCTCAATTGTTTCCATAGAAGTGGTTGGGAAATTTTCAGGTGAAGCGGATAATGAATATTGGATTCAACAATAACAATGAAGATAATTTACTGAAGAACAACCAATAGGCTGAGAGAAGGTTCTGAGGATTGTTGGAGCATGGAATTCGGCCGGCTGATGAGATAAAATTTGGATGGAAGATGTGGTGGTAGGTGCTGTGGTTTGGTTTGGTGGCATTGTGTAGGAGTGGTAGTTCAAGGAGCTGATCTTCGGAAATTTGGATTAACTAGATTCCTGCGCAGGTGGAGTTCAACTGCTGTTCAAAGTTGCACACCGTGCCAACTCAAGTTCGACAACGGCGAGCAACCCACCAGCTAGGTAAGGTAGCCAGTCTCTTTAGTCTTGTTGAATATGTGCTTTATTTATACCGTAATAATGAGTTTCCTTAAATGATGATATTTACGTGCTTCACAATTAGGTCAATTTTTCACACTTTTAATCTTTGTTTCGTTTGGGTGGGGATATATGGCCCAAAAAGGAACAGCCTATACCGACTTTATACAATCGCCTTTCGATAAAAAATTACTAGAAAATCTATGTATCGAGAGCACATCTAGCAATCAATTGGCTGGATCGAGTTGCTCTATGAGTCCCCTTTAGATGGCTTGTTTATCGGTCGGTTTATCCGTTAACTGTCGTGCTTAGTCTAATTCAGTGTGTGTGTTTGTTTCTGTATCCGGAAAAAAAGAGCACATCTAGCAATTTCGGCCAAAATTATATTCATTGATTCTACTTTCTGAAGTTTTTAGATCGCATACACACACGTAGTTTGACCTTTACGTCGTGCAAGATATATTAAGGTTTCCCTGAAGATATTGAAGCATATAATTACACAGTCCGAGCAGTAGCAGGATAAAAAATATTTACTTTTCCTCCCTCTTCAATTTCTTTATTGAATTGCTACGTTTTACCCCCCCCCCCCCCTCTCATATGGTCAGCTCCAAATGAGCACCTTGGAGTGAAAAGCATCGCCGGAAACTGAAAAGGGACAGAAAAATCTGGTCACAAATTTGTATACGGTTCAATACGCTTTGGTGTTACTCCGAAATTGGACAGTTTAACTTCACGATGCCATTTCAAAATCAAGCAACACGGTCCAATTTTCTTTTTCTTTACGAGCACGACGTCGTGCATTTAACCAATAAAATATTCTATGATGAAATTAAGGACGCTTAAATTTATTTTATTTTTTTTGAGGTGAAATACAAATGGTAAACGTTGCGCTTTATGGTATCCTATTTTAAGCAGAGATAAGAACTCAACTATATTTTAGAGGTAATACGAAAGACCCACTAAACTCACAAAGATAAGATTACATAAACTAGAGAACTGCAGGAGAAGACCCATCATCTACACCCTACATTATTGCATTGCAAGAAACACCTCTTGAGTCCGACTTGGCAGCAGCATTCTTTGGTCGGAGTAGTAGTAGTGGTAGTACGTAGTACCAGACTCTGGCTAGAGAGCTCAGAGGTGGCGTGGATAAAAAGGACAAAAGGGGGAGACTGACGCCCGAATTCAATTGTACACTGCTAGAAGGTAGTACTACTACCATTTTTAAAAAAAGAATTTACTACCGCTTGGCAGTTGGTAGGTGGAGTTTCTCCGGATAAAAAGCCAGACTGCTAAAAGAACGTTTTGCTTTACCTTCCCCGGCCGGAAAAGGCCCCTGGTCGACTCACATCTCAGCTTATATATATGTGTGTGTGTGTATATATATATATATAGGGTAAAATACATTAAACCCCCTTGTGGTTTGGATTATTGTCATAAAACCTCCTCATTATTTAAAAACCCTCATATAAACTCCTTGTGCTTTGGACTTTTTTGGAAAATGGATGTAAATCATCCAAATTGACGGAAAGACGTTAAATTCCAATGCTAACCCCGTTTTCAAAATGTACCAATAGTTAATTTAGGTTCAACCTGCCTTTCATGCTGCAAACACTGATGTCCTTTCCATTGTCATCATCTCTAGGTTCAACTATCAATCATTTATACCATACCTCTTTTTTTTTTTGCATTTTTCTTCCTTTTCCTTTTCTTTTCTTCCTTCATACTGAAATGGATCAAATCAAATTAATATCAACGCCAAGAATCTCAATACTAAATTAAATAGAAACCGCTCAAATTAAAGTCAACTTGTATTAGATTTAGGCAATGAGAAATCAAAATTCAACTAAAACCCACAAAATTTCTTCACAAAAATCACTAGATCAAAAATGTCTACACATTAAGAATTACCCCCGATAACCCACTTCGCATGTTCATATAAACTTTGCCGACAGTGGCTTCGCTGAAAGCTCCGGGAACACCTTGATGGGCAATATGGAGCTTCAAGCCATGCATCGGAGTTGGAGAGACGTCTGCAATGGCGAGTGGCTTAGGCAGATTATCTATCGAAATGAGATCTAGACTGGCCTTGTAGTCATTGACGGACTTGGCAATGTGACCTATACCAGGAAATCTAAGCAGTAGTGCCGATGGCAACAGCGGCGAAGCGAATTGATGGTGGCGGTGGATGAGAACGAAGGGGAAAGGGATCACCTGAAGGCTATGAGATGGTGGTGTCTCTGGTTTAAAAAATCGAATGAATTGTATGTTTAAGGGAGATTTTGAGTTGGTGAGAGAAATTCAAGTCTGATTTGAGAGGGTTTATCAAAGGTAATGGAGCTTTAGGTTTCTACTTGTAGTTGCACCAGAAGGGAAAGGAGAAAAAATGAAAAAAAAAAAGGAAGAAAAAGAAGGAGGAAGGAAAGAAGAAAAAAAGAAAAGTAAGATTAACAAAGGTTGGTGTTGATTTTGCTTCAGTTGTTTCTTATGTTTTTCTACTCCAGATAGTTCAGAAGAAAGAAAACAAAGAAAGAACAAGGAAAAAAAGAAAAGAAAAAAAATGTAAAATTACCACATTACCCTTGATGTATTGTTATCACACTCGCTTGTCAAGCGTGTGTAATTCACTTTCAATCAATTTGGATGATTTTCATCCATTTTCCAAAGAAGTCCAAAGCACAAAGAATTTATATGGGGGGTTTTTAAACAACGAGGAGGCTTTATGATAATAACCCAAATCACAAGGGGTTTAATGTATTTTACCCATATATATATATAACCAATCTTTTGATGACAAATAATTCCAGAACGGACTCCAGCCAACCAATTTGAATCATCACCTTTGACCATCCGTCATCCACATCCACAGTTTCATTTCAGTACGGTAACTGATTTTACCAATTTCAGCAAACCGATTTTAATCATCACCTTTGACCATCAATCCATCCATCCACCCTTCACTTCCATCTTCGTCTGTACTAGCAGCAAAGCAAAGTAGTGGAGTACTACTTCCTCAGTTCCTCATTTACTAGTAGTACCAGACTAGTTAGCAGGTCCTAGCATGGAGAGATGGATAATGGATTCCTCCCTAACCTCCTCCACCCTCCAGTCTCACACTCCCAATCCTGCACTGCCACACACACACACACACACACATTAGTAGTAGTACCAAAGTATGTAACTTCCAATTCAACGAAGGGCCTAATAAGCAGTTGTAGTCTAGTAGAGTTCCTCCACGTCATCACCTACTCCCCGCGTCACTATCTCTCTACCCCAAATCCCCTCATTCTTCGCGTGGCACCGTCAACTCAGTCAAAACCACTCACCCCTCCCTCCATTTTCATTCTCCTGCAATCTACTATACATTCATTCCCACAGCCTACAGGCTCCAAACCCCCCCCCCCCCCCAAACACAAAAAACATAAAAAAAAACCCGAAATCTATATATATATAAGCCCACCTCCCCAATCCCAGTGGTCTTCATTACCCCACAGCCTCCACTCACAATGTGAGAAATTCCGACACCTCTTCATCCTTACCTTATTCCTCCAGTAAAATCTCTCTTTTTTTCGCGTCCACCCTTTCTCCCCCAAAAAAAAGTTAAAAACCACCACCCCTTTGCTCTCCTGGCGAAGAAAATGGAAGAAGAAGAAGGAACTGGAAAGAGACAAACGACTGAATGTGACTACGACGTCGTCCGGAAAAAGCTCAGAACCGAGGGCGACGGCGACCAGGATCAAGACGACGTGATGGCCTCATTGGCCTGGCTCGCTTTCGACGACCAGACTGTCACGGAGCTTTCGGAGCTCTTGGACTCCTCCTCCTTGGAGGCTTCGTCGTCGTCAGCGCAGCAGTTTAACGTTAAGGTGAGGTTCATCGAGGACCCGTACATGACGCCGGTGATTTTTCAGTCGTCGTCGGCCTACGTCACCATCAACGGCAACGAGGAGTCTTGCGGGTCGTCGTACTCGGACTCCGACTCAACGGTCATGGCGAGCGTCGACATGGGAAGCTTTCGGGTTGCGTTGAGGAAGCTGGCTAGGGAGCTGAACGTGGATGAGACCGATAGCCGTGGAGCGTGGGGCTCGGACGCCGCTGCGGAGGAGGAGGAGGAGGAGGTAATAGCCCGGGGTGGTGGGTGGAGGGGGGGAAATGATTATCTGGAGGGTATTTTTGTAAAATCGCCAAGCGGCAGCAGTGACTTGTGCGAGACGACTCCTTCTGACGGTGACGGTGAAAATATGTGGGTGAAACTTCTTCTGGGTGAGGAGGATTTGTTAGGTGGGGCACGGTAAATTGGAAGGAGTTGGTTGTGTGGAAAACGTTCGGGGGAAAGGGGCTAAAATAATACGAATATACGAAGCAGTAAAAAGATTTAAAGAGGCTTCACTACTGTAAATAGTAACAGTAGGGGGTGGTCAAGACTCAAGGCTCTGCAGGGTTACATTTGATCTAAGCTAATGGGAGTGAGTTAAAACCGGGGTAGGCCGAGGCGGCGGCGGTATTGGTGGTTTTTGGACATTGTGGGACTCAGGTGGTTTGGTTTGGTGGCATGAGCACAGTTCTATAATTCTAGCTACTGGTACCGCGACAACTGCTGTAATAATACTCCTCTAGAAAATTAGAAAATTGAACAGCAGTTGAAAAAGAAAACGTGGAGCGGATTTTGTCTTCTTTTGAAGGAAAAATGCCAGTTTTCGTCCTTAAATTTTCGGTCATGCACATATTCACATATTTTGTTCTTAAACTTCCTGCATAACACATTTAGTATCTGAACTGTCAATTTTTTACCAATTTCATCCTCAAATAAGAAATTAATCAATATAAATGGAAATTGGAGTTGGGAGAGTAAAACTAGTTGTCCTATTTTGCTAATTTTAAGTTATGCAAGGCTTTTCAGTCAACGGATTCAAATTCATCAGGTGTCCAATTTTCGTTCAAATTACTAATTAGTTTTTCATTGGAGGATAAAAATTGATAGTTCAAATACTAAATGTGTTATGTCAAAAAGATTGAGGACGAAATATGCCCATGACTCAAAATTTAGGGATGAAAAACCGATATTTTTCCTCTTTTGAAGTTCATTTTTTCCCTTCTTTTGAATTTTTAAAATTCTCACACACAACACAACAAAAGAAACTTAAAACTAGACCCGGAGCAGTTACTAGGTAAAAACTTTCCAATTTCATCCGTCGGCGCACTGTTCAGAGTTTCCTGCTTTATGATCTATCCTACACTGATATTCAAAGCAGAAGCAGAGCAAATCATCCTAAACCTGCAAAACTAGCAAGTCAGAGTTGTTATCCTGCTCAAAAATACAAATCACACTTCTTGTTTTCCTCAATGCAGCATCTTCTTCTTTCCCTTCTTTCTGTCCCTTTTTTTTTCGGATGTTCTTATTCACAATAATGTGATTGACCTTTTAATCGGTTCTGGCCTATCATGCAAGTCTATTTCACGAAAGAAGCGCCCAGCTTTAAATATGATTGCAATTTTGCACGTAAGTTTTTTTTTCCTTTTTCCGTAAGTAAGTAGGAGATTTCGAATCTAAAATTTTTTACTCATAATTTCTCTTGCTTTACCATCAAATCCTCCTCCATCTAAGCCTTTGTTTCCTTCACTTGGAACGATGATAGCATTTTCTTATCATGTAACTTCTGGTAGATAATTAGAAATTCTTCAAAGTTTTCTTGGGCAAGTTAGCATGGATGGGGACACCACACTCTTTTCTTTTCTTTTCTTTTTTTTTACACCTCTCACCCCTTCTCATATCCTTTTCATTTCTAATTATTATGCTCGGACTTTAATCTGACAATGCGTAGCAGTTGTATCATGTACGCGGGGAAAATTGAAGAATTTGAAATAGTACCAGCAAGCAAGCAGTTCCTAAGGGCTAAGAATGAGTGGTTTTTTTTTGGGTAGAAAGCATGAGTGATTTCCGGAATACCAACCCGTCCGGTCCTTGGTACGTTAAATATTAATTAATTAATGGTTATCCTCACTTTGTTGTGCCCTGCATCAAATGCTAGTTAAGACTCCTTCACAAAAAAAAAAAAATGCTAGTTAAGACTTAGGCTCCGTTTGATAACACTGAATCTGAATTCTGAATTCTGAATTCTGAATACTGAAATAATTAATTTGCTGAATTTTAAGTACTGAAAAGAGATATATGAATGTCTGAATCTTAATGCTGAATCTATTTATACTGTTTGATAAATATTCATAACTTAATGCTTAATAAGCTAAATTGTACAATTTTGCCCTTCTATCTTTTAATCCAAAAAGGAAATAGAACCTATGATTTAATTAACTTAAAATTGTTAGGTATGAAAATGACAATAATTGTGAAGAGCAATGCATACAATGACAATGTTTCTTTGTGTGGGAAAAAGGGTATGGTTTCATCGTTTTGAGAATGGGAAAACGAGCTTTTAATACTCCAAAAGCACGTTCAATTACATTTCTCAATCTTGCATGTGCTTGGTTTAAAGCGTTCTTCTTTTGATCTTGGACGAGAACCATTTCGAAAATCAGACAACCAATATCTAATATTTCGATATGGTGTCATAAAGTCATGTGTGTGTGGATAAGCTGCATCACATAAATAATATTTATTTGCACAAAAAAAATATCAAAATATAAATGTTTGTGGATGAAAATTACTGCAAAAAAATATTATTGTTAAAAAAAATTTTTGAATAGAGAATATCAAGTTGTTTTGTTTAATTAAATAAGGATTTTGAATAGGGAATATTAGGTTGTTTAATTAAATAAGGATTTTGAATGTAATTAACAAACAGGGATATATTTGGTAGAATGATAAAGTAGTTGAAGTAAATCTCTTGACTCTTATCAAATTAAACATTCAGCTACGATTCTTGTGCTGAAAAAAATACATACAAATTCAACACCACTTAATAAGTTCAGCAGGTGAATTTTTATTTATCAAACACCCACAACATCTGAATGTCTGAATGAATTCAATTTCAGCACTTTTTTATGTTACCAAACAGGCACTTACTCAAGAGGAGGTAGCGGCTGGGCTGAGTCAAGTGGGCTCTGGACTAAGACTTGCCGTCGGAAATTGTGCCCTGTTTGGACAGCAGTTTTTTAAAGAAAAATTGCTACGTTTTCCGTGAACATATTTTTTTATTATCTTTTTACTTCACATATATCAAATCGTTACAATAATTTTTCTACAAAAAATCTAAAAAAATACAATCCAAACACAATCGTGCAGGATATCATGACTGAGGACTATATAAACTACTTAAGACATTACGCGTTTCAGAGCCTAAAAAAAAAACTTTTTTTTAACTTCTGCCTATCAACGTAATACATAAATGAATAATCACAAAATCTATTTGGAGGAGTTATGTATTAGCTTTGCATGTGTTAAATTAATGTGGTTAGGTAAGCACCTTTCCAATAGTCATTCCTATTACTACTAGTAGAGAAATTTCCATCACATTAGTTACGGCTTAGCACTATTTATCACTATTGTGTTCTAAATAACAGCATCAACGAATGAATAAATGATTATTGAAAATTTTTTGAGTGGATGAAAGCTGAATATTAGCATCTTATATTAGTCACTGGATTGTAGTATTAGGGATATTGGGTTAGGATAACACTACTCCCTTAGGATTATTCATTCATTCATTCCTATTAGTAAATGCATACTTTTGATTCCTACTACTCCCTTAGGATTGATTGATTGATTGCCGTGAACCATTGATTATTGAAACTTCAGGGGTGAATGAATTCATGAGTGAAATATCGTGTAACGACTCTATGTACAAAATATTACTACTGGCTTCTTATTGGTCGTTTGGTAGTATTACAATGACTACCGTGTTCCGATAAATAATACTCACTCCGTGGAATTTTCTTTTGTGACATGAGTTCGTAGACCATTCGCATTTACTTATAATTTTGACTCTCAATTAAATGTTTTGATTAAGAAGTATGTATAAATATATATATATATATATATATATATATATATATATATATATATAAAGATTGAATTGTTGTACATAGGCAAACAAAAAAGAATTGGGCTTGTTTGGATAGTAAAATTATTTCAAATAATATTTCGCTTACATTATAAACACATTTCCCAACCCACCTTTTTATATTTCCAACAACCTTTTTATCTCACATATATCACACCATAAAAAGTGCTACAATAATTATTTCAAATAATACTCTATCCAAAATGATTTATTGTTATGTGACGTGCAGGAGTCAAATAAAGTTATAAAGATTAAAGAATAAGTAAGGCAGGAGAAATTAATTAAAGGAAAAATGGTGATATAGATGTAGATGTAATGATTGGAAATATGTAAATTTTTTTTTGGTGAAAAAATTTGAATAGCATAAATTATCGTAAGTAACTAAAAATTGACGTACATCTCAATTTTTGCCTTTTTATTTTCTAATGAATTAAAGAATTATTTAAAAAAATTTACATTAGGTACCTTTTATAGAAAGTTCTAATAAATTACAATAGATTTTAGTTTTTTATATCTTTTTCAACAAATTCAATCAAGTACATTCCTATGTTTAAACATGGGAACAAGACAACTATTCATATTTCCAATTATATGTGCAAGGGTCCTATAAAAAGAGTTGTAGGTACAACATCGAAAACAATGTTGAAAATTAAATGTTAGAGAAATATATGCCGATGATTTAGGAACTCAAATATTTGCCTTCGTTTAATTAGAAAGCTAAAAACAAGTCAAGTTTCTTCGTTCATTCATACAAAAGCATATATAATCTCAAAAACAGTAGGGAGGTTTGCCTTTAGAAATTAATCATAAATTTTGCTACTTGAAATTGCATTCTAGTTACGATGAATTTTGAATTTTTGATAATTCTGCTCTTGAAAACAGACGGGGCAACACAGACTATTGCCACAGGAAGCACACGAATGTTGAAAGGATAAATTATATTTTTCAATTGCTGCTTGTGACTTAGGATTAAAAAGGTAATTGATGTAGTTAGTGCCTCAAATGACATGACGATGTATAGTTCATTATCAACAACATTTTATGTCAACAGGTGGGTTTGGCACCAGACAAGCTAGTTCATTAGCTTTTTCTTGGCGCTTAAGGTAAGGGTAAATAAGTACTGCACCGCAGACTCTCGCCTCATCAATCCTAGCAATCCAGTACCTGACTGAAACTGTATTTTTTCATTGTAGCATTCTACCTTTCAACCTTGGACGTGCATGAATCTGAAAAGCTTCGCGCTCTTCATGAGACAAGAGATATGAATGATGATACACTTTTGGTCTGAAGGAAAAATGAAATAAAACTCAGTCAAGGAATAAAACATAAAAAGTTCATAAACACCAAAAAAGATCTAGAAACTCACCCGAAATAATCTTTTACTTTACAAAAAGACTTGTATTTTGCAACTAAGGATGCGGGAGGCTGCGGTGGTGGCAGTATATCATTGAACATATGCCCCAAGCACCCCATCTCAAAGTTGCATGTCGTCTTTCCACTCCTTTTCCTTGCTATCTTTGCAATTGAACAGAGCAAACAAAAGCTTGACTTTTTCTCCAGCAAGAAAAACTTTTTTAGCCATTACACCACTATGATAAATTTTCTCCTCGGCAAGATCTTTGAAGCAAGTTATTACACCCCGGCGGAATAGTTATAAAAAATCTGAGCTACCTCATCTACTTAATTTACCTATTTGATAAGC